GCTAGTAAACAAGCTCATCAAATTTCGCCCGGTGATTTTCCCTTTAATAAAAATGAGAGTTGAAGATGGACGGTCTGCTCTCTTTTGGCACCACAATTGGGCTCCGCTTGGAAACATCTCCGCTGTTCAGGTTTCTTCCTCTTCAAGACTTGGTATCCCCCTCAACGCAACTCTTGCCTCCCTTTGTACGAATGGGAACTGGCGCCTGCCGCCTGCTAGATCCGATGCCATGATTGATCTTTATACCTACATAACGACATTGGAATTATCTGAGCTACCGGACTACTATGTATGGGAGTTGGACGGGAAAATTGATACCAAATTTAAATCAGGTGATGTTTACACATACCTCAGAGGCCCGCTCCAAGAGTTCCCCTGGACTAAATCAATCTGGTTTCCGCATCAAATCCCTCGCCATGGTTTCCTCTCCTGGCTTCTGATGTTGGACCGATGCCCTACTAAAGATCGAATGCGAGGGTGGGGCCTTCAAGTCGACCCGCTCTGCATCCTTTGCAACTTGCACGATGAATCACGAAACCATCTTTTCTTTGATTGTGGTTTCAGTTTTGATCTTTGGTCTTTGGTCTCTTCCCGTTGCAGATTACCCCACACCAGATCATGGCACCAATCTTCTTCTCTGATGTCTTCTCTTACAGGCGATAAACCATCTAGACTCCTAACCCTTCTCTCCTGGCAAGCGACGCTTTACTAGATCTGGACTGAGCGGAATGGCAGATTGCATGCAAAAAACTTTAGATCAGTCGATGTTCTCTTCTCTCTCCTTGATCTCCAAATTCGTAACAAGATTCAAAGCTTCCGGGAATCTAGCCCAACCCTCTCCTCAAAAATGTATCAGCGTTGGATCTCTCTAGAGTAAGCTCTTCTGCTGGATCACCTCTCCTCTTCACCCTCTCGATACTCTCTCTTCACTCGTCAATGCTCACCAACTAACCACCAACCACCTCTTCAACTTCTCTTATTGGGCCTGGGCCACAGGCATCAACTAAAAGTTCTTTGTGAGATTCTAAAAATTTACCTCTATTATGTACTGGGCCTTGCTCATAAAACACTGCCCTGTGGGTTCTGTATCTTTTTCATTTTGTTCTATGAAAGCCAGTTTACAAAAAAAAAAAAGATATCGGTGTAGTGGCTAAATCATTAAAAACGAACAAAACAATTTTGGCGACCAATTTCCAGAAATGTTTAAAGCTGAACTATCTGGCTAGAAAAAGAGATGCAGTTATGCATGTGACCTCAAGTTCATGCGAACTTAAGGACAAATCTAAATAAAGTCATGAATATATTTTGATTTAAGTCCTGTAGGTAAAAAATAAATGAAAGATACGGCCACATCAACGGCTCTACCTAAAAGAGGTTGTTATGATTTTAAATCCCACTTTGGTGTTACGATTGAGATGCCTGACAAAAGCAGACAAAAATTGATAACATTACCGTAAGGTACTCGGTGGGAATAGGTTTCTCAAAAACAAATATAAAAAGCACAAAAAAAAAAGCAAAAACACTTCTTAACTTTAAAAAAAAAAAAAAAAAACACTTCTTAATTGCTACTCTTGATATCTCTTTGTTCTTCTTCTTTTTGATGATTCAGTCTTGGTATAGAGCATGTATACAAAACAACCTCATGTATTCCGAACAACCTCATATAGTTAAAAAAAAATAGCAACCTCATGTCTTGGATTGAGAATCATCTAAATTAGCATCACTTGTCTTTTTATAGAACAAAAAAGGCATTACAGCATGCTTTTTCTCTTACGTTATGCTACTAAGCTATAATTTGAACTCTTCGAATATTTTTGAAAATTCTGCTCTCGAAGTTTCGTTTTAATTCCCGTAACCTTCATCTCTCCATTTATAGAAAATTTGAAAGCACAAACCTAATTTTTGCAAAAAAGTGATCAACTTAAACACAAATTGTCATTCTTATTTTCGTACAAAAAAAAAGAAATCAAAAAGATTATAGCTCTAACCTATCATGTCCCTTCCGTGTGATAGCTTGAACTGCAGCAACTGCCTTTGCTATCTCTTGTCACACTCTCCGGCGTTTGTTCCAAGGATGTCCATCTCGCTCTCTCCGTCACTTGCTCCGTCAGTTCATTGCCGCTTGTTCTGCCGCTAGCTCCATCGCACTCCGCCGCTTGCTATGTCGCTCTCGACCGCGTGCTCTGTGTCTTTCCACCGCTTGCTCGACCACTTGCTCGGTCGCTCACCACCGCTTGCTTGTTCACTCTCATGACATGCTGCACACATACTCAATTAAATCATGAGTTACAAAAGGATCTCACATTGGCAAAAGTAATCGAAGAGTAAGAAGCAGCCTCGGTTTCAGATTCTGGGTTTGAAAAAAGAAAAAAAAAAGCAAACGCGTGTTTGAATTGAAGATCTAGAAAAAAAAAAGAACATCTATCTGACTTCAACTCAAAAATCTGACTTCAACTCAGAAATAAAACTTGGGAGCTCGAGATTTCTCAGAAAGTGGATTCGTTTTTTGAATAGATTGATAGGATGATTTGGAGAGTAGGAATTCTAACCTTTTTATACTCAAAGTTCCACTACATTCAAAGAGAAAAATTTGCATTGAAGGTAGATGGTGATTCTGTAACTGATAGATTTCGGATCGTTAGGATAAAGATGAAAAAACTCTATCAAAATCTTAGGATGAAATCAGAAATCGTAATGGCTGAGAAGGAAACAGGTTCAACCCTTAGAATCAAAAACGATACGTTTTGACCATATGGTACTCTTTATTAGGATGAGCTTTATGAAGAAAAATACATACACCAAATATAAATAAAAGCCCAAATGAATAAGAAAACTAAATAAATAGTACACAGAGTTTTGATAAATTGGAAAGGTGTCGCCTCAAGAGTGCATGAATTAGTGATGTGGCACAACAGGAGGGAAAAAACCTTACTTTATATGCTTAAGCCAAATATACAAAAATACAAATGATTTTTGATTATATCATTAATTGGTAGACACAAAGCTAAGACCCAAAATGAAATTTTTGTAAGTAAACCAACTGATTTTTCAGTTTTAAAATCAAGTGAAATTTGTTTTCGATTTTGCTAAAATAAATCTTAGCAAACAACAGAACACAACCGAATCAAATAGTCATATTATATAAAGAAGATGAAGATAAATGCGTACCTCTTTTCATTGATCAGGAGTAAGTCAAACCCCATGAGTTCTCCACTTTTTTTGACGTTCTGACTCCCAAAAACGCAGAACCAGCATCAAAACCGTCTTAGAAGCACACCCAATATTAGGATGGAAAGCAGGATTGAAGAGGTGGCCATCTTTAAAAGCTCAAGTGGTAAAGGAGTTGTATAAACTATGGTGAATGTCGCAGAAAAATATTAACTACATAGTTATAGATGCTACAATAAAAAGACGATCGAATCAGCATCAAAGATTTGGTAGAAAATGTATCTTCAACTTTATTTCAAACTAAGTCAACCTTAATCTAACTCTAAAAATCCAAAACTAAAATCGAACACAAACCAACTGAATACGAAGTACTACGTTTCAGTTTTTCTATTAAACAAACAAAGCCAAAAATAATTAAACCCGATAAGATCTGAAGATAACCAAACCATAAGCTGGATTAATCATCCCTATTGATTTTCTTTATTATCAGCACCAACGGGGCAGGTTCTGGTACTTCCATCAATTAGCTGAATAGTATCAGACTCTGCAAGAGGATGGGAAGAAGAACTCATAACCACGCAAGCAAACATATATTGAAATGAAGAGTTCTATATAAAAAAGAGAGGATTACAATAGGTCTCACTAAATGTGTTGTCCATTTAATTGACAGTTACAGCATTAAGCTGGATGGTAAAGCGAGATGTCATACACATGAAAATCTAATAGAGTCATGGCCATTGTACTTTTAATGTACTTTGGTAATTAATAATCTAACTTCATATGAAATCAAGCTATGTTACTAAGTTCCTTTTCAGAGTTTGTAAGCACACGTACCTTAGCGTGTAAGAGAAAATGTCTCTCTTCTGTAACTACATGAGCAGGGGTGTCGAACCATATTAGTTGTTTGATATACATATTTCAAGAATCAAGCAATTAGGACAAAGCTAAAGAATCAACAAACAAACAGTTTACTAATTCTATGTTGAACTGAACACTCAAACGATTGTTAATGGAAATGGAAAACATCGAACCGGCGGTGAGTCTCGACCGGAAAGTGGGAACACCATAAGCACCGATGGAGGCTTGCATAATCTGCGACTGTAATAGTCAAAACATCAAGATAAATAAATAATTAGATGTGGTCGAAATTTGGGAACTAAACAATACACATATCTCAAAGATGAAATTCTTACATTCACATAAATCAGAAGCATGTCAACCCACATCAGCTAGCCGCCTCGCTTCACATTCCTCGCCTCCCAGAAATAAGGTAGATGGTGATTCTGTAACTGATAGATTTCGCTCGTTAGGATAAAGATGAAAAAACTCTATCAAAATCTTAGGATGAAATCAGAAATCGTAATGGCTGAGAAGGAAACAGGTTCAACCCTTAGAATAAAAAACGACACATTTTGACCATATGGTACTCTTTATTAGGATGAGTTTTATGAAGAAAAATACATACACCAAATATAAATAAAAGCGCAAACGAATAAAAAAACTAAATAAATAATACACAGAGTTTTGATAAATTGGACAGGTGTCGCCTAAGAGTACATGAATTAGTGATGTGGCACAACAGGAGGGAAAAAACCTTACTTTATATAATTAGATACTATTTACAGCGGTTTGGAATCAAGTTGTTCACTATTGGAAGCCTAACTTCTCAAAAAATAAACCACAAGCATTTTAAACAGTTATCCACAGTGGATTAAACATAAAAGTTATCCTTATCCCAAATGCGGAAAACGCGCCTATATTATTGACGCGTGGAGACTTGTATCTCTCTGTAATAAGTGAGAAAGCCACGTCAACGCCACTGTGCTGTTCCTATCACTACAAACCTCTATCACCCGCCCAACGTCTTTTCAATAGTACAGCAAATACCAAAAACGCATTTATTAATTATTCTTCTTCGAATCTCTCAATGTCGTTCGATTCTCCGGTGAACAGAGGAATCCACTGCCCTTGAAAACTCTGAAAATTTCTGATCGAGGACAGTTATGGACGAATCTTATCGAAACCTCACGGACTTTCTCCAGAGAACCTCTGTTACAGAGACATTCGTCGACATCTTGCTATGCGCAGTTCCCATATGGCTGGCCGTCATGATCGGGCTTTTGATTGGCTGGTCTTGGCGTCCAAGGTGGACTGGTTTTGTTTATCTAGGTCTCCGTTCTAAGCTTCGGTTTCTCTGGACTGCTCCGCCGGGTTTCGGAGCTCGCCGTGTTTGGCTTGCTTTCACCGCTCTCTCCGCTTTCTCGGTCTGTCGCACTTTATGGTCAAGGCTCCGTTCGAAATCGGAAACCTCTGCATCTGTAAAAGAGACTCCTCCGAGCTGTGAAACAGAAGCAATCTCAAGGTTAGAAACGAATATGTTCTTTGCTGAAATAGTTATGCTTTTTTGGGAAAGTAATGCTGTGAAAAAGACAGTTATACGGTTTTGATGTTCTCTTGATTGATTTGATTATACAATTTTGGTTTCTTGTGTGATTGATTTGTATTGTTGTACGTATTGGTTTTGCAGAATTAGTGATAAAAGTACAGAGGAGATTGTGAGAGAGAAGGATCTAAAGCATTTGCTGCATCTGCTTGAAGCTGGAAATGCTAATATGGAGTGGCAATCTATGATGGACAAGTCTACTCCCAATATGAGCTACCAGGCCTGGCGCCATGACCCTCAGGTTACTGATCTTTATGCCATACTTTTATTTTGATGGGAAATATGTGGATTAGGTACCCTATTGGGTATATGCTTGGGGACAGATGCTGCTGCATTTCTCTTCTTTGATGCATTAGGTCTTACCTGATAATTTATATTGAAACATAGATACCTTAAAGGCAATGTTGTTTAACAGTCAGGTCCTGTTGTTTATCGAAGTCGGACTGTTTTTGAGGACGCAACTCCAGACATTGTTAGGGATTTCTTCTGGGACGATGAGTTTCGGCCTAAATGGGATCCTATGCTTGCTTACTTCAAGACTTTGGAAGAAGTTCCTCAGACAGGGACTACCATTGTTCACTGGATTAAAAAGGTATTTTTGTGCTATTTTTTTTTTTTTGTTCCTCTCCTCCATGCAGTTTTGTTGTACTGTATATAGGAAGTTGCTAATAACTTTCCTTTGCAGTTTCCATTTTTCTGTAGTGACCGGGAATACATCATTGGCCGGAGAATATGGGAATCTGAAAACAAGTATTATGCTGTGACTAAGGTAACATCTTACTTTTGCTTGTCTCTATTGGTTTGGAATGTCACTAACACTTGTCTGATATACTGTTTTGGTTTCCTATGTTTTATAGGGAGTACGGTATCCAGCTCTACCAAAGCGTGATAAACCGAGGCGAGTAGACCTTTACTTCTCGAGCTGGATTATCAAAGCGGGTAAGTTGGTTTTAAATTGCAAGTTTCCTTTTCGTATTGGTGTCAGGTTCTAAGAGGAATGCTTTAAATTGCAGTTGAATCTCGAAAAGGAGATGGACAGTTAACGGCTTGTGAAGTGTCTCTTGTCCACTATGAAGACATGGGAATCCCAAAAGACGTAGCAAAGTTGGGAGTCCGTCATGGCATGTGGGGAGCCGTCAAAAAGCTAAACTCTGGCTTAAGGGCATACCAAACCGCTAGAAAATCAGGGGTGCCTCTCTCACGGAGCGCTCAAATTGCGAGAATCACTACAAAACTGAACATGGATTTGGTGGAGACATCGAGGGTAGAGGAAGAAGAGAGAGGGCAAGCCATGGATAACGCAAGGAGACGAAAGGAGCAGTTCAATGTAGATTGGAAACTGGTCGTTGTAGGAGGATTTGCATTGGCTTGTGGGCTTCACTCAAGTGCTATTGGCAAGGCCTTAATGCTTGGAGCTGGGCAGAGACTTGCTCGTAGGTGAAATCATTGTCGTTCTCTCTGCCTGAGAAATTGACATTGTGATGTGTGTCCATGGAGGATTCTTTATCCCAGCCCAGGAAGACAATTTCGTTATATGCATCATGCTTTGTTTTCTTCTTAATAAGCACATTGAGAATAGCATATTTAGTGTTGGAGGCAAAGTGACGTGGTCGAAAGTATTTCATCTGAAGTCTAAGCCAAGCTTGTTATACCGTAGACAACGTTTAACTCATTTATGTGGACAACTATTTAGCAATTAGCTCTCAATTTCGTTTCTTTTCACTACTTTAAAGCTTTAGACTAACTTTCTTGCCTATGTACAACATCTTCTGATTTGGTTTGAAAATCCTTTGCGTAAGGTACATAATCATCACCAAATCTTGTTTCATCTGAATCCCAATCTTCATCGTCTATTTCAGACAGCTCTCCTTGTGCCAGAATCTCAGGTTCTTCTCCTTCTTCATATGAATCATCTCCTTCTTCCTACAAAATAGAATAGCACAAAAGCCATGTGAGACCTTAATGTACACAATCTTATGATGATGAAAGCCAAGGAAAAAAAAAAGAGTGATCGGAGACGAATACGCACATCTGTTTCTTCGTCGCTAGAAGCATAAGTCACAGCAAGCTTGTTATATAACTCTTCATCTCCCTTGTCTGCTATCTTCTCCATTTGTTCCTGATAAATTCATTGCAAAGTCATAGGTCAGTCTACCATTGCATTCTTCTGAAATAATAAAAGAGTAGTCCATTACAATTTCAGCTCTAAGCTGTTCTGCTCTTGCATGCATTGCCGAGATGTGTTTTATAAGGCCCTGTTGAAATGCAAACAGAACAAAGGTCAGCTGAAGTTCCAAATAACAAAGCAAATAATAAGTTTAAGTCAACGAACCTCGCGTCTTTGGAGTCCAATGGAACGTGCTAAAGCCTTTCTCTTTGTCAAAAGGTTCTTCGGCCTCAACATGGGTGGACGCTTATAGTCTTTTCCTCTATAAACAATAATGGCATATCCTTTAGAAACCTTGTCTATAGAAACCAAGATACCGCCACTCTCGGCTTCAAGGGCTAATGCCACTTTCTTCACACCCTCAAAAGTTTTAGCTTTCACGATTATTTTGACAAGTTCTCGGTATTTCCAGTGCAGGTGCATGTTCTCCACCGTACCATCAAACACTCCTCGCCTACCTGAAGCAAAAAACTTCAAGTAAGCGTCCTAGAATATATGCAAAAGACACTTGACTATTGATGATTTACCTAGAAGTAAGAAAGCTTTCATCTTCAAACCGAGTTTGCGGAACATAAACCTCTCTTCATCAGTTATGCTTTCTAAGTCTGCTCTCTGCTCTGCTGGCTGTAGACACTCTTCAACCTTAGCCAAAGCACGTTCAGCTTTCAAGAGCTTTCTCTCGGCCTAAAACAATCCGATTAATTCAAGGAACAACTCTTCAACAAAGTAACAAGGGCTAAGTCAAGAGAACTCACAAAAGAAAGTTTCTTTTCCAGCTTCCTGACAAGATTTCCATGCCTCAATTTCTCAACCTCGTGTTTCACTTCTTCTGCATGATGACCATCATCCAGATTCTTTCCCCACTTACCAGTCGCGTCAAGAGTTTCACCAAGGGTACCAGCAGAAGTAAGTTTATTAGTAGGTTCAGTACTTGGGACAATCAGAGCCGATGATCCTCTTAAACGTGCCTCTTCTTCTTCGTCTTGTAAACTCCTTACAAATCTCTCTTGCTCCACCAATGCCTCAGCTACTTCTCGTGACAAGAAGTTCTTCCCTCTGTAGAAAACTAAGTAGTCTTTGTTCCTAGAGAGCAGTATCCCTCCTGTCAATTTCTGCAGTTACTTACCAACAACATGATATCAAATGCTCAGCTTCAAATGCAGATAAAAGACAAGAAGAAGAGCATAAATGCTACCTTGAGGTCTTCAGCCATTCTCTCACTGGTGGTCAACTGTACGCCACGTTTAATCACAATCTTTGCAAGCATACTCTTTTCCCATAACGTAACCATTGCTGTTGCCAAGCCTTGGAGCTGCCTACTTCGACCTGGAAATCAAAAGAAAATCCTACTCTTCAAAGGTCTCTATCAGACTCCGGAGAAGGTTAAAAAAAATTAGAAACTTACCTAAAGCAAAATGTGGAGGGAGAATTCTAGCAAGTCTTCTCAAAGCTGTTGCCTCCTTTGGTCCAAGAGACGATCTCACTCCATAAGGAAGTATCCTGAAAGGCGGTTCGTAACCAGGAACGGCTCCTGGAAGCAAATCAGCATCTATAGGTAATGGATGATCTCCAGTCCAGTCCTTGAATCTAGGGCCAAGACCGTCTAACAGTTCTTCAATTTCATCTTCGTATTCTACTTCCGGATGAAATGTCTCCTCTTGGTCTTTCTTTTCCACACTAGTTGTCTCCTGGCTTTGCTGAGGAAGATACACTTCTTCATCTCTACTTTCCACCGTTGTTGTAATTGCAGGTAAGGAAGAAGGTGACTTCTCCTCTCTTTTCTGCTTGTTCCATTTTCCTGCAGGAAGCTCATAACTGACACCTCTGTACAAAGAGATGGAAGTCCCTGACCTCCAAATCACCAAACCACCAGTCTTTCTCTGCAACAAAGAGAGAACAAAACAACATTCAACAAAGATTGAACAAAGCCTACTCATATAAGAAGCAAACCTCTAATGTCTCATGCATCTTCCTCATGTTAAGCGCGCTTGCTCCTTCAATTTTCAACCTCACAATCTCAGACCCCTTCCACCTCTCCTTAATCGCATCAACCACCACCTGAGTCACACCTGCTCCCCGGATCTTCATCTTGCTCGCCGTCCTAAACGTCAGATTCCTCAATCTCCTTAGCTCAGACTCCGGAAGAGTCATTTCAGCAAGAGAGTATCTACTCTCCTTCTTAGCACTCCACTCAGACTCCAACTCTTTCCTCTTCTCAGCACTTATCTTCTCCCAAGGAAACCCAACTTCACCACTGCTTCCGAGCACTGACTCCTCACTGAACCCACCTCTTGTATCCGGTAACATCCCTTCTTCAACGTAGAATATATCCTCCACTGAACCTTTCTCGATCCTCCTCTCTTGCTCAACCTCCTTACTACCATCACCACCTTCCATGTAACCATACTTTCTCAACTTCTCCACAATCTTCCCCATTGTAATGCCATCACCATCTCTACTAATGGAATCACCACTCGTAAATCTATCTTCTTTTCTGTAATTTACAACTATCTTCGGAGGTTTAGGTTGATTCCGTTTCTGGGTTCTGTTCCAATTCTCTAACCACTCACCGTTACTACTCTTTACCTTGTTCACAGGAGAAAGGCTAAACCTTTTTGATTGAGTTTGATCACTACTCGAACCAGATGCAATAATAGCGTTACGGGTCGGTACTGAAATCGAGGAACTGTTGTTGTACCTTAAGAAACGGAGGCTTTGGAATGGGTTTAAAAGCTTCGTCTTCGTGATAATGGTTGGGCAAAAGTGGCGACTGGGTTTCATCGCCATCGCTGAGATTTTAAAGTTACTTGAGGGTGATGGTTTCAGTCACAGAGAAATGTTTATGCTTTGGCGGATTCATTGCCGCCACGAAGTTCTCGCTATGCGTTTATCAATGGTGGCGGGCAAAAGGATTGGAGATGGAGATATCTTAAAGGGTTGTTTGGATGCAAGTCTTTTACAAAGCCTAACCCGGTCAAAGGAAACGTTTTTTCATTTTAACAACAATTTTATTTATATTAATTTTAAAAGTACATACAAAATACATAAAACAAAACAACAACAATAACTAAAATAATATAGGGACAACGAGAAGACCAAGCAAATATAACTTGTTCTTCTTGAAAGGTCTTCTTTATTAAGGGAAAACCAACATTTTTAATCTTCTTACAATCTTCAAGTTCATGTCGCATAATATACGCCAATTCTTTTTGTTGTATATAATTGGCCAAATCCTAAATTAGAACTATATATAATTCTTGGATTTGAATCCATTATACTGATTCATCCAAGAAAATAAAAAAATGAGATAACAAAAGGAATACACTTCCAACCTTAAACTACTGACTCATCCATGGTGGCTACCATGAATTCAATAAAAGCTTGGAGTGTTTGTTCAATACCAAATATAGTGTACAAAAATATGGCTTTTGAACTCTTGATTGACCATTCTAAATGGCCAGTGAACACCAACCTTTAAACAATTCCCATCGTATTGTAATGTCCAGAAAAGAATAAATACCTTAACCTCGTATTGTAGTTTCTCGACAGGGTTATCTTCCATTAATAACAGAAAGATGATTGAAAGATGAATAATCGATTGCGATAACGTCTCGTTAATTTTGGTCTAAAAATACCAAAACTGTCTTTCCAATCCCAAATAGATTGGCCATCGATCATGAACATACAGACCACGCCGAAGATATCAAATGCGTAGTGGATGTCGTCCGTGCAACACCTCACTCGAATCGGTCTTATAACATATCCAATTTGTACTCGGAAGTGATATTGATATAGTTTTCACGGAGATCTTCCAGAAAAAGTGAAAACAGATGAAAAGAAATTGTTGATATTGATAAATATTTTTGTGGACCTCTCTTGCCTCTCTCGTGTTTTGTCATCTTCCCCCTCACTTAATATCACTCTTCAAGAAGATTCAGTTCTGCTGTAGAAATCAATGATGAAGATACATATGAGACAAAACAGAGATCATCTCGTTTTTGATCGCTAAGAGAGAGAGAAGAAAGCAGTTTTTTGTTGAAACATATGTAACTAAACCAAACAAGGAGCAAAATCGGTGAATTTTATTATTTTATAACAAATATTTGGTAAAATAAGCCTTATCTCTAGAAGATTCCGTTTGGATCGTCACAGGCAAAGCGAAGAGAAAAGGTTCCAAAAATTATACTCAACAAATTACTAAATAACGAAAGATGCAAGCCCTTAGGTAGTATTTGGGTTTGAAAATGCTAAAGGAGAAGAGAAAACAGATTTTTGAAACTAAAGACGTGTTTTAAACGAAAAAACATGTAAAGACTTATGTAAGTCAAGCCTAGAATAATTCAAATTCGGAAGCCCAAAAGAAGCCTAATATCAACCTTCACCAATGGTTATCTCCCAAGACTGTTGAAGGACACTAAGAACGGTTCATGTTTCTAGATCGGATGAGATATGAACTCCGAAAGGAGAACTGATGGATTGAAGGGTCGCACGAAGGTTTCCGAAGGCCTCCGATATTTCCGACTCCAAGTGGTGCTTGATATGACTCACAAGTCTACCAAATGAAGTATCTCTCCTTGTTGCTTGATATGACTAACAAGTTCAACGATTTGAGTAAGTGTTTACTTGGATATGACTCACCAATAAACAAGAAAAGTTCTTACAAAGAACAAAAAGTTTAACTCAGAAACTTAAGAAAAAAAAGATTTATTAATAATGAGAAAGAGTTTACATATTTATAACACTTGTGGAATGGAAAGAGACACAAAGAAAGACTTTTACAAAATCGGACTAGAAGTTTGAAAGATTTAGAATAAAACTCTTCAGATCCAGATCTGGTCAAGGAAAAATCTTCAGCTACTTGGACTGGTCAAGATGACCCCTCGCCTACTTGGACTGGTCGAAATGACCCTTCGGTTCCGGTTGGTTCTTGGACCGTAAGGAGAAAAATGCATACGGGCCTTTTGGGACAGTCCGCGGAAAGAGTTACATGACCCTACATGTCACCAACACGTCCTAAGTCTTTGGACAGCTGAAGAATCCTTGCCTTCGAGAAATCTGATGATCAAAATGCATGAACTGATCAAAGTGTCCAATCAGTACGGTCGCTAGTACATGTGGTACGGACCAAACAATCCAAAAGAGAGTAACCACGTTCGGAATCAGAATCTTCTCGAGCAAAGTCGATTCTAGTTCGACTATCAGTCTTAGCTTGGTGAGCTGGACGGGAAAGAACTCCTTCAGTACGGTCAGTTCGGTTGTCTAGATGTGGTTCTTGACTTAGCTCCATTCCAGATGTACGCGGGTTGAAACGGTACACGACATGGTCTGAAGAGAGAACCTCAGTTGCATCCACAGAGACACATCTACAAGTTTCATCCGTAGGGATGGTATCCACAGAGATATATCCATGAGTTTCATCCGTAGGGATGGCATCCACAGAGATACATCCAAGGGGTTGCATCCACTCACTAAGTCCTTCCTTTTCCAAGTTAGCTTCTGGTATTGGTTCCATGTACTGATCCATGGGCTGTGGCACCTCAACTGTTTTGTCGAGTTACAGAGGGGAGGATCGTACAGTAAACCAGCTGAAGTCTAGCTACAATAGGTTTTCTCCTCTCTTGTCTTTATGTGTTGGCTAGTCTGTTCTTTACTTTTGACTGTGACAGCTGTGTTATCTCACCATCGAGATTGTTCGATTGGTTTTATAAATACTGTGGGAGTCGATTTCACCCTACTGTCAATAAATCGTAAAAAAGGAAACTTCGGGAAAACCCTAAGTTTCCAGAGGAACCGGCTATCTGCGAGAACCGCACAACAAAGATTAAGATGACTAAAACACTTAGAATTAAAACGAAAATAAGAGAGACTGAAAGCAATAAGGTTCTTATTCCGAATCTGCGTAGAACTGGTACAAAAAGAATTGCCGAAAGCGTAAGAACTAGAAAACCCTAATTGAGACGCAGCT